ATGAGCATGAGAATCCCTTTTGCCGGCTGCTAATGCAGTTACACAATTCCTCATGCATGCTCAAATCATCCGTTATGCTCATGATTCTGTCGCGTCAAATCTAATTCTACTTTTCCAAAGCCGTGCCTGTGCTCGCTCAAAGGTTTACATGCAGTACCGCAAATTTGTTGCATGTTCTCTCAAATCTTTCATCATACATGCATCATACCATCATACATATACTTCCATAATGACAGAGACACATGTATCACAAACAAGCACCCAAATGTGTACATACATACACATATACACACACACACACACACACACATATAGGTAATGAACAAAGGCACAAAAACACAGACACACAGTCATGGGCCATGGCAATAAAGATCTGTGCAGGGCTAATTTAGCACAGAGAGAACCACCGCATCAGTTCATAAAACACACTCATTAAACACACAAACCCATTGCAGCCCCTAAACTGTGTGTTTGTGTGCGTGTGTGTCTGGCTCTGTGTATCCCGGAGGTGTGTTTGATCTCCTGACTGTGATAATGTGATATCCAGCCCTTGTCTTTGATCCCCTCATCGCTATAAACACTGCTGATGCCTGGTAAACACACACTGCCATTAACACACTGATAGCATGGCTCTTTGTGTGTGTGTGTGTGTGTGTATAATACTAATGTTGTGGGGACATAAATCTGTCATCTGCAAAATGCAAGTCTCCATAACGTAAATCATTAAATTTCAGGGTTAAGTCTTTGTTAAAGGTTAGGGAGAGGGTTAGGTTTAGGCAAGTAGTGGTTATGGTTAGGATGGTTAAGTCAGCAGGGATTGAATGTAAGCCAATGTCAATTAGACAATGGCCTGAAGAAACAACAATTATATCAAAAAATATAGCTAAATGAACATTTGTTTGTGTGTGTGTGTGTGTGTGTGTGTGTGTGTGTGTGTGTGTGTGTTTTAAAGGCAATTAATAACAAGTGGCAACTCCTGTGTGTTTACAACTCTATGTTACATAAAATTGGAATAGAAAAGGATAGGATAATAATAGATTTACCCAGTCGAATACAGACGCACAGATGTGGTGTGTAACTGAGGACACACACACGAACACACCTACACACACATACACACACACACACACACACTACATATCTGGGCCCGTATTTATCAAGCTTCTCAGAATTACTCATAAGAACATTGCTAAGAACTGACTTAAGAGTAAAAAAATTCTTGGCTCAAAGCTGAGCTTTAAAGTCAGTTATCAAACATCATACATCATAGTCCTAATTTGAAATGTAGGACTAAATCTTAAGTGTCAGTCTTAGTGCTGATTCACAACACTTTGCTGTGCCGCAAACAGGATTTTGGATGACGATGTAGCCAAGTACCAATGACTGAATAGATTTTCTTATTAGGGATTTTCTCACATAAATTCACATTGAATGGTGAAATTCCTAAGAGGAGTTTATATTCAACACACATTTAACAATAAAGAATTTTCAAGATAATAGATTATGATATAGGCCTACACATTAATAAATGAAAGATAAAAAAAAGTTTATCTTTATATGAGCGCCATTAAATGTGCTCCTGTATTGCCGGCTATTTGCATGAACTGTGTTTGCTTCTGTCGGATTACGGGGGTGGTGTTGGGAAGTCGATGAAACGCGTGACAGTGTGTGGAGCTGTAGCCTAAGTGCTATAATTGTTTCCATGACTATTCGGCTTATTGAGGGTTATGACGGCCACAATCATCAGCATTGCTGCGTTTGTCTTGTGGCAAATAAACAAAGCGTCATCTCCACCTTCAATTTATCTGAAAACACATTACTGTGTAAAGTCAGTGGTGAGATGACGTCCCTCACCAACTCGCTGACAAAGTTTATGCATGCGCTGTCCGACCCCGTCTTATTAACTGCGCGTCGTCAGAATTCTTCCTTTCTTCTCTGCATGTCTCTGTCTTCACAGTGCCATCACAAGCCCTACTGGCAACTCCTAATCACTTGAGAGACCTCTCGAGCTGTCTTAAATAACTGGGAGAGTAACAGTGATTCTTAGCTTTGAGAAATTTGATAAGTTTAAAAGTAGGAGTAAATTTCATGAATTCTCAGAACTTAAGACTAAAATGGCACTTTGAGAAGCTTGATAAATACCGGCCCTGATATAATGCACATGCACATCTGAAGCCATACACATTGAAAGCTTTCAAAATGATTTGTATGTGAATCTTTGCATTTAAATTAAGATAATTTTAAAATGATTCATAATCATGTCACATAATTTTTTATGAAATATCAATATAAAATATATAATATATAGTATATAATATCCAGCAAAGAAAGGAGACAATGGCGCACTGTTCAGATATTAAGACAAATGTGCTAGATCGCCATGCAAAATATCTTAATCACTATCTTAATTGCACTAATTTGTACAATGTATTTGACAATGATGTGTTACATAATGCTGTAACACACAACCATTAACTATAAAAAACAGGTAGCTTTCATGGTCTCCCTGAAGAGGAAATGCTTTGTTTGTTATATGATAGACTGAAAAAAACACATTTTATGTTTTATTCCTCAATATATTATGTTTTTCATTTAAATTGACCGGCTCTTTGCTTACAAATTGCCACTGTCCCATGAGAACCATGTATCTCCACATTTCATGAGCTAAAAACGAACCTGTTGTCAGCTTTGCATTTTTCAGATAACCCAATGGCTTTTTTAATGGTTTATTTAGCTTTGGAAAAAGGAGAATGTTCACCCTGTCAAAGACAGCTAGCTTCAGTTTTTCTCTTTTTGGAATTATGATACCTTTCTAATGTTTTATTCTTTAATTTCTGCAGGTATTTAAAGAAATAAAGAAAATATTCCAGAAAGATGCAAGTGCTGATAATATTGTATAAAACCCATAATACATATAACACCCTTGCCAATAGTAGTAGTTCTTGTCATGATTACTATGTTTTTTCTTATGCTATTTGCCTAAAACTCTGCATCGACACTGCGTGAAATTTCTGTACTATGGGCAGTGTCTTTATTAACAATGTAATAATATTACTTTCCCCAATAACTACTAGTGTGCACTAATTACTTTTCTAAAACAGTAATATTATTACTAGTTACTAAGGAAACTAATGCTGCGTTACTCGTTACTGAACGCACCATTGACGTGAACCCACGACTGTGCAGCAGCTGAGCGGTACCGAACTTCGTTGTTCATGTCCGCTGATAGACAAAACTAAAGGAAGAAAGGTGAACGAGGGAGAGAGGCGTTCTTTCCACAGCTGTAAGTACTGCCATTACTGTGCCACAGTCTAAGATGCAAGGAACATTGTTGTCTAGTGTAAGCGTTCTGATTTATTAAAGCATCTGCAGAAGCAGCACAGCAATGTGAAACTTACAGAACTCCAGCAGCTACTGTCGGTGCTAAGAAACGTTCGGCCTAGGCTATATACTTCGTAAAAACCACACTCCTTGCTGCTGTTGTAAATATGATATTAGCGATAAAAGTCGGACGCTTTGCTTGGGGGTGAAGGGGGGGTAGTGAAAGCAGTGTTTCCCATAATTAGCCTATAATTTGGATATAGGCTACTTGCCACAAATTGATTTTCAAATTTTTAGTACTACGTGTATTTAAAATCATCTTTGATTGAGGAGCTGTATTGAGGAGCATATATTCGTGCAGAACCTCCTCTCGCTCACTGTTTCAACACCACATGTATGTTACTGGCATCATAGTCATTCTCACAGACAACACCCCTTTGGGTTTTGTCTCTGTGTGTCCACATTTCAGCTGTATGTGAACTGTTTTCAAACACCAGCAGAGAACTGATCTCAACACATGAAAGGCTCTTGGCTGAATAAGAGGCAAAGGAAAGGAGAAGAAAGGAGAGGACAGGTGTGATTCCCACTGAGTTTTCTGTACAGACCTCTGCGGAGAAACAGAGGAAGAAAACTAGAGAAAAAAAGGAAGGAAAAACTGAGAAGTACAGAAGAGAGCAGCAGAATCGCTCCAGTGTGTTCAACATGAATCCCAAATCAACAGGCCTGTTAAAACATAAACGATTAGGGAGCAGCTCTGCATTTTGTCATTTTAGTAATATGGTATAAGTACGACTGACGCTTTGATTTTATTTCTTGTAGCATTGCCAGGTGCAAAGTGCTTTTTTTCTTGCCAACTTTAAAGAGCCCTTGTCGGATTAGGCTCAGCATTAAAATAAACATGATTCACATTACACAAAGTCCACTTAGACGAATATCACACCTACTCTGTGAAGTCCTCCAACCAGTACAGTCCTAGCTGTCTCTTTTCTTTGTCTCAGTTTTTGGAGATTTCTGGCATTTCTGTGCTGCACCTCCAAGAAGACACCTGTCAATCAAACAGTACACGCAGTACTGTTTTTCCCTGAATTTTTCTGTTGTTGAAGTTCTGGTTACTGTAGAAAGTGCTCTTAACTGTGTCCCAAACCTATTCAATGTACTAACTACTATTTACTGAGCACTGTTTTTGTGGTTAGTATACAAAAAATTAACACTTAACTTTTTTACACTATCAAGAAATTATCAAATTACAACTTTAGAATATAAATAATTCAATTTAAAATGACAACAAAATGTTTGTCCAGAAATGTAATACATTTTTTTTGATTTCTTAAGTGTTCCTGGAGCTGTTTCACCACCGTCCACTGTAAGAGTAAAGTTTTGTATTGTGGTGAAATACTGCCCATAAAGTATATGTACAGACGGTACACACTACACACTCAAAACTTGGCTTGACTGGGTCACACTTATAATCTGTGCAGCCATACTGGTTATCCTTCTGGTAAGGCTTTAGAAAAATTACAATAAATTTTAATCAATCTTTTATGAATTGACTATAGTGTGAATTAATCTTGTGTTGTATCATAAATTTTGGGGATTTAATTTGTCCATTGGCCTGTTGATTCAGGATTCTTTAAAACCTCAATGTAAAGTGCATTCTCAGTGCTGATTGGCTGTCACACCTGTCGACTCCTTCCCTCCGCGTCTCCATTCGGGTGTGTCAAGCAGAATGTAGAAGGAGGACTGCTTATTGTACTCCTCCCGGTCTAAGATCCTAACCGTTATGGTCTTCCTGTATGGGACACACACGTACACAGACACATAGAGGGAGGTGGTGAATGCATGCATGGTAAACAAACACCATGGCAGGGTATGTACACAAAATACACACACACACACACACACACACACACACGCATACAAAGTGGAGTGGTGGATGTGGTGAGATGACGTGATCCACAACCCGCTGCATGTTCACTGTCATAGGAAGGACACATCAGGAGGTACGGTAGCGAGAAAGAAAGAACATTTAAGTCCTGTGTGCCTCCATGTCCTGAGAACATACAGCCTCTGCAATGTGGCGGACACTCTGGGGTAGAGGGGGGCAAGGTTCACAGAGTCACGAGGCTCACTCCCTTCCTGACCTTTGGTGTCGTTGCTCTCCACCAGGCGAGGCTCTCCGATCTCTATGTAGAAGGTTTTGTTCTTCTCGTACTCCTCGTCGTCAATTACTTTCACCTTGATGATTTTACTGAGGAGGAGGAGAAAGGGGGAGGAAGGAAAAGAGGAGGAGGGAAGAAGAGAAGGCAGAAAAGTGAGGAAAGGACAGCCTGGAAACTGGAAAAATCAAGAGGAAACAGAAAAGAGCAAGTGGTTTTCCCACAAGCACCTTAGGCACAGGATATGGAGAACCTTTTTTTCCAACTTCAATACCTCCAACAACGTCTAGCATTGAAAAACTTGTTTTTCATGCTGTGTTACCTTTAAGTCTGATAAAACGTTTTATATTTCCATATAATCTAACCACAAAATCTGATGTCAGATTGAGCATTGACAAAATGAATCTGATAAACTCCTCACTCTGTCAGCCTGCGGTTCTGATCAAGGCTCAACTCAAACCTGGTATCAGCCTTATTGAAAAAAATAAAATAAAAATGTTGTCACTTGGATGCTAAAAGTTAAATAAAGAGTCTGGCAGTGCGTCGTATAGTTTATCAACTTTATTAGTCATTTTGGCAGGTGAACAATCAGAAAAAAAAGAAGATGAATTTAGCTTGTAATTAGAAGGTTTAGCAGGTTAGCAATTTTAGTATTTTAGCACACATTGCCATTAATTTTTATAAGACCATTTGACAATACAATGCCTTGCAGTGACAATTGTTTAAATCTGAATGTGTATAATTTATTAAATTACATTTATAAAGCAAACATGTTTTTTTTATTGATGTCTGTGGGAAACCAGGACAATTCACCGTAAATTCTGCCAAAGTAAGAATTACATTTCTATCAAAATCTACTGTAAAAGGTTGCGGTTAAAGGTTGTGCTATCCAGCCTATAAGAAATTAAAAAAAAAGCTCTAGCAAATGAGTTGAGGGTTATTTTTACATTGTTGGCTGAAATTAAAGTGAACTGACATTTACTGTCTTTAAAGTTGAACAGATTAGCATTTAGACAAGAAATTAAAAGGATAGAAATCTTCCAAGACCAGGTGGAATGAAAGAGAAATGAGCAGGAAAATAACAATGACAGAAAGATATGTCTGCTGCTGCAATTAACACCTTCAATTGGCACCCTCAGCCAGACACAGTACAGATAACGGTCTGCTTTGTGATTTACGCCAAGAGAAACCGGTCAGAAATCAGCACAATTACTACAATGAAAATGAAAAAGTCTATCTTGTTCAACTACTTGCTGAAATGTAGTATACAAATATCTCTGCCACCAGTCAAAATATCATCTTTCACATGCACATATATTTATGTTCTGCTGTTTTCTCCTTCCAAACCTTTCAAAGTCTACTTAACAGAAATAGACAACAGCAATAAACCAGCCTGTAAACTGTAGCAGCATTCTGTCGATGAACAATCATTTCTCTCTCTGAAGCCGAGTTTCACCAATACTCAAACGGCTAATTGGAAGTGCTATTATTGACCATCCAAATGCTCTCCAGTACGGAGAGAGTGTGTGTGACTGTGTGTATTTATTGCGGCACTTGGCCTCAGACATATTTGGCAGGGAAGCTAATATCTAAGGTCACAGGGCCATGGAGCGGGACGCAGTGTGTATACTATGTGTGTGAGTGAGTGCCTGTGGGTGTGTGCGTATGTGTGAATATATGTTTATCTGTGTTTCCAGTCTGGAAAAAAAAAAACTATATCCTGAGCCAAATCACTACGGGCAATAACAAAGACATCTGAGAGAATCATCATAATCTGGCCTATAGGGTGGGAAATGGGACACAAACACACACACACACACACACACACACACACACACACACACACACACGTTATATAAGCCATTATCTATGATCAAAGGCCTGCTACTTGTTTTGGATCATCAGCCGGCACCTACATTTGAATCCACGCTCTTTTAATTGAGCAGCCATTTAACATTAAAAGACGTATACTGTCAACCACATCAAGCGCGCGCACACACACACACACGTCCCGCTCTAGCATACAGCCTGCTCTGGTGGAAGTATTCCACACTATGAAATTACTAAATTACAAGGAAAAGTCTACATTTAGGCACACTGACCTAATGATAACTCCGTACTTTTACTTAAGGTTTTAAAGTACTCATTGTGAATAACCCCTTTTCATGAATATATAGCCAATATTACTGGAATACCTGTCAAGTACAATTTGTCCCCCAGCAATTAAGTGGCATAGAAATAAACAGTAGCATAAATTGGAAATACTTAAGTAAAGTACAAATACTAAAATACCTAAGTACAGTACATGAATGCATCTACATGTACTTTCTACCAGTGACAGCCTTCGCATCTGCAGCATGCCTCCTTGATGACAGAAGACATGAAGCAGCCTACAAATCATCTAATTGTACACAGGAGCATCACAGGTTAATTTATCAGCTGCATAATACAATAGAGGGTAAACCATCAAAAATATCAGAAGCAAACACCAACACACATGCAAATGTCAGGGTTAACTCATTACACTAGAGGGATTAGCCCATTTATCACTGTCCTATAACAGCAGATGGAGAGCAGTTTTCACCTTCTGGCCTTGAGGAGCTCATGACCGCCAAGCTGTCAGTTAACACTCACACAGCGGCTGGAGAAGTGATGGAGTAAAAACCCTCCCCTGCCTCAAGGTGGAGCCCTTGAGCAAGGCACTTAACCTACCAACTGTTGAAGTAGAAGGGCTCAGAAAACAGCAATGTTTACATTCTCACTGGGAATATAATCACTGCTACTACTTCAACTAATACAAGGCCTATTACTAATGGACTAGAAGTACACAGGGAAGTTTTATGAGTTCGGAATTTACCTCTCACATTTGTGTTTCGTACTGTTTCGATTTTTTTGCATGATGTTTGCATAAGATAAACAAAGTATGTGTTTCACTTAGTGGGTGTCCTTCCTGAGGAGCTACATGCACCTCTTTCTTTTTGCACCTGCATCACTATCAAAGCTCTCATTAAAAATCTACAGCAGCCTCCGTAATTCTAAACTCAGGAGAGGAAAAAATATTGGAGTAAAACTATGGAAGTACCATGTTTCTGATTCAGATGACAAGATTTTTACTTTAAAGATTTTTATAAATTACAGACAGAATATTTGCACAAGATCGAGAACACAGATGGCCTCTGAAATTACGCAAATCACAGACGGACCCAAAGCAACACTATTCCCGTGTGACTAGGTTTTTGGGCTGTATTTCCCTTGAAAAACAAGAAGATTTCCATCAAATCAGCTAGAGAACAAATGTTTTTGTATCATTTACCTAATTTATCAATGCCTTTGTAAAACATTTTTTCCAGGGAAGGCTATCTGACTTGAAATCAGAGGTAACTTAAATGCCTCTCTGTTTGGGAACGGTGACTCTCCTGTTGAAGCTGGCAAACCTCTCAGATGACCAACTTGCTGGAAAAACACACACACATGCTTACACACATATTCTCACATTCTTGTACAGTCAAACAAGCACATCAAGACATGCACACATCAAAACACACAAAAATGTGTGAACACATACACACACACACACACACACACACACACACAAATGCACTTCCCTCCACATGAGAAATATGCTGGCGGTACAGTAAGCTGTCCTGTTGCCATGGCAACATAATGTTTGGGTAACCAACAGGGGTGGAGAAGATTTTTTCCAGAGTGTGTGTGTGTGTGTGTGTGTGTGTGTGTACTGAAAAAGTGAGAGTGTGTGTTTGAGAGAGAGGAAGAGGTCATATACTGTACACTCCCTACACTGATTTGTATGTGGCAGTTTATGTATGTGTGTGTGTAGGTCTGTGTATAAGTGTGTAATAATGTGTGTGAACAACGTGTTCTCATCTCAATGCGTCATAACTGACGCTTTCAGACAGCATGACAAAGCGTAAGTATTTTACGCTAAAGGTACCCTTCAGCATCCGTATGGAACGTCACCGTTTGCTACGTCCCTACCTGCTAGCACAGCTGTAGGGTTAGCCGATCGACATGCATAAAGTCAGTGACTTAGGTTTAGGTACTAAAATCTCTGATGGTTGTGGTAAGGGTAGGGGGCTTCAGAGGGGCTGTCAACACGAACGTAGCTAGCACTAGCTAGCTAGCACGTCCGGTCTGTACGAGGCACCCCAGAGCGTCTTATAGAGACACTGAAGGGTACGTTTGGCGTCAAATAACTACGTTTTGTCACTTTTTCTGTAAGCGTTGGTATTGGACGCCCTGAGATGACAACGGTCTGGTGTGAAAGAGACAGAGATATTAGTAGCTTCTGTGCCTCTTTGTGTGTCAGTATTCGAGCATTTGTAATCTACAAACCATATATACAGTAAGGGAAGTGTGAACAAATGCTTCTGTGTGTGTGTGTAGGTGCCATATGAAATTAACTCTCTTTACACACATGCATGTTTGTACCTTAGTCTCTTACTTTCACCTTAAACTAAACCTTTTCCAAACATTCACCATAAAACCAAGCCTTAACTCTCAAAAAGCCCTTTGACAGAAGCCCAGCCAAAAAGTCCTCATTTTCTCGCTCTCGTGACTTTGAAATCAAATTGCCCCCTTACAAAGATAGAAATACCATAACACACACTCACCC